GAAGATAATAACGTAAACAGTTACAATCAGAATTGTGGAGGGACCTTAAAATAATAGATTAAGGTAAACCGTTATAATTTTAAGAGACACATTCACACAGTTAACTATATATCATTTTCAAGATACATTCAAGTACTTCATTTTTATTTTTTTTAGCAGAAAGTTTCACTTTCAAACACAACATTATTGTACAATAACTTTTCTTTTCAAACAAGTATAATAGCTACTTTAGAAAGAGAAAACGCTTGGGAAAATCCTGTAAGAAACACATTTTTCTGATGGTTTTTTCGAAACTAAAAGCTGTTTCTGAATTGATTTTTAAAAAAAATTTCAATACACCATTTACCTATTTCCGGGGTTGGGATTGGGTGTTACCATTTTACTTTAAGTATCAAATTTCTTCATATACCACCATTTACATGTAAGCCTTATTTGACGTATCTGCAAAGCAAGTAAGAATAGGGTATGCCTTTCACCGAATCCATAAGATACATTCCCTGATGCTACATGTACATCAGAATCTTTACCTGATGCTACATATACATGCTGCTTCTTTTATCTTTAAATTAGTATAATTTACATTCATAATACAATGAACAAGTAGACTATTTTTTAGCATTAATATTGCATACGATTTTTTTCCTTATGTAGGTAAAGCTGAGTCTCAGCATTGTGGTTATATGCATTATTCCTTACTTTCAAAGTTACCTTGTGTTTGTATATTAACTAGATGAAGACCTATGTTCAACACTTTTGCAAAAATTCTCTTTTAATGGAACAGCAAGTAATACGGCTGGGACTCAGCAAATAGTGACTGAAGGCACCACTACAAATAATTTAAACCGAGGTATGCATGTACATTATCTTACCTCTACAGACCACAAAAATGTATTTTAGAACATGAATATTTTAGAGAAAAATCAAATGATCACATCAAGAAAAATTTTGTATGTTTTGAATAAGTTAACTCGATAAGTCTGTTAGTTTATAAAATCGTTTGAATGAGGAAAGAGATTAATCAAACCGATGTACCATAAAGTGTCATGACAATTCTTGAATAAACATTATATGAATTTAGCTCTTTTTTGTATATAATTACCCCGGGTCCCTTATCTCAAGACTTATTCACAAACTAATGCAATTGTTTTTAAAAATGCGTTTCTTGCTGTGATGGATGTCGAAACTCTGGTTATGAATGGATTCTTGTAAAGAGTAATTCTTCAATGTCTTAATAAGGAACTATTTTTAAACGATATTTTGCTTACAAAAGTGCGTCAAAAATAATAATTTTGTTCCGTATTCTAAAAAAAGATTTATTTAAAAACAATATTTTCCAGATAATTATGATTGTACAAAGTGCCAAAAAGAATGTCAGCTGAGTACATTGTTACACACAAGTTATGTAACAGTGCAACACGGGACTGAAGCTACTAATAACATGATACAAGGTATGCATGCATATGCCAGCAGATACCTGTATAGGTTTACTAATGAATAAACTCTGCCAAATGAAAAGACAGAAAAAACTAAACTGTTAATTCAATGATTGAATAATGCCCTATTCTCTCATTAGCATTGAAGAAACTTTGTAATAAAAATATTAAGTAATCTAATACTTACCGAAATTACTCCAATGTAACATACCATTTTTATTAACATTGGACAAAAAGAATATTGTAGAGAAATGCATTGCAATACGCGAGTTTCGAGATTGTAACTCTCCTGCGATAGAGGCGCAAAAAGTATCCATTTCAGCATGGAGGTGGGACATTTTGTTTATGTATACAAACGTGCCTAAATAAATGAACGATGTTTATGGCTTTTAAAATTTATTTAATGTTATAGAAAGATAAAAATGTTAAGCAGTGATGCATATTATATTTTATCAAGCTCAACTGTTTATATTTATAAATCTACTTTCAATTATAGGGTACTTGAAAACGAAATTAATGTCGTGGTCTTCATAAAGAGTAAAAGATTTTCTTGATTGTGCAAACATTCTCTAAAATGTTAGTGGGTTTTTTGAAATTATAATAAGGTAAAAAATTAATGTGTCATTTAAATTGCCGACATATAATGATAAGATTCCTGTTTATCGTATTTATTAGAGGTCCATATATCTCTTCCCTCGTCTGAAAAATCTCACATCCACTTTATTTCTTTTTTGTTCCGATTTTTTTGCTTAAAAATGGCACCTTTACTTTAAATCGGTTATTCTCGAGTTGAACAGTGCATCCTTACAATTATATAATTACGATAAACCAGTACATGTATATCGATGATGCGATATATCCAATAATAAATATCTGTCCCACATGTTTGTTTACGCGGCAACTAAGCTCTCCTCCTCAACGAAAGAGCGCACCAAGGGAGATAATCTCGAAACTTGCGTATTGGTCACAACTCATTCAGAACATCTGTGTGTGGTTTTCGCCTTTGGTAAATAAATAAAAATACAATGGTCATTGTCACTGGGGGTAGCCACGCCGATTATGTGTAAATTTAGAGAGTCAAGTCATAGATTAAAATTGAGGTCATACACAAGGTATTTGAACTTTATTGGGTTCTTCCCTCAAGTTGAAGAATTCCTATAAACGAAGGAAATGTGTACAATACTTTGTTATGTCTATAAAGGAATTTTTGCACCTCTTTTTAAACAAATTTTGATAAAATAAAGTATGGAATTTTTTAATTTTTGAAACCTCTGTACATTTATCTTTAAATAATGGAAAAATTCTCATAATTTAATATCTTTTCAAAACCCCTGGTAACACATGCTATTTTTTGATTAGGAACATGTAATAGATTTATAAGTTTAAATTTAGAATATCTTGAAAAATTATTAGTAAGTAAGATACCTTGCGTATGTTCTTGAGACAATTGATCCTTAGATAAATAGTCTGTAAACACCAAATAAAAACAACAATGTCAAAAATACAATTATGATATATCAAATTTAAATTATAACAAATAAACAGATACATTATTCTATAACTTTTTCACATGAAGGATATTATTATTTGTAAATAACAATAACTGATTATACCAACTTCTAAGTTTACTTACATTCCCGTACTCTTTATCACTTTCTGTGTCCAGTATTTTATTAAGGACAGATGAATTGAGATGATACAAACAAAAATGGAGGCCTGAACTGGTATGAATTCTTTTTTACCTAATTTCATTGGAAATAATGCAATTAATATACTACTAGAATATAATAAAATTGTAAACCTTCTGTGACGTTCAAAAATCTACCCTTCTGAAACCATCCTAATAATTCTATACAAGTATTCTTCACTTCAAATTCCATTTTTTTTTATTTGAACATATTTTATTATGTGAAAAATACATAAACGGATTAGGCAGAAGGCTTAGCCTATATAAGCCCTCTCCACATTTTTGTGCAACTAACAATAAAAAATTAAAAAATTACGCGGTGAAATATTCATTTAATTCACTAAAACATGTCTCAAGTTGTTATTTTCAAATTGTTTGACAAATGTTTGTATCATCTGTCCTGAATTTAATAATTGCTCCTTTTAGTTTGTAAAGTTAAGGTTATTAAAACTATTATGAATAATCATTTGATAGAATAAATAATATGCTGTTTTTTATCCAATGCAATATCATAATAGCAACTTTTGGAAAATGTTTTTTTTTTCTTGACCATTTGTTTATGTAAATAGTTTTATTTTTAAAAATTATTATTTCTTTTATTTTTTATTTATTAAGAAGACATTTAAGGTCTTATAATCAGAGAACGCGTATTTTTCATTTCGATTTCACTATCAAATTCACATTTAAAGTAAGTATGGTCACCACAACGAGCTGAAAATTGATTTCAATTGTCTCTGCTTAAAAAATGAAAGTTATGGCGTTAAAGTTCAGCAGCATATCTTTAAGGTATTTAATATTATAATATATACACGAACAATTCCGCGTGTTAATTTTTATTTTCTTTTGATTAAAAATGCTTATACAAATAATCATTTGGATGTAGAGTTATTTTCAAGGAAATGAATAGTTACAATTCTACAAATTCGCAAGAGCCGAAGAGTTGCTGAGGGATATTTTCATTTTATTTCAAACATAAAAAATTAAATGAGAATGAAAAGAAAAATTTAAGATTTAAGAGGGCATGGAGAATGTAATCCAGGGATGTCGTTAGCCAAACTCTATGCGGTCTTCTTATCATTGGTAGACAGGCTTTTAAGGTAATACGCAACATAGTTTGAACTTTATTGGTTTGGTTCTTCCCTGGAGTTGAAGAGTTCCAATTTATAAAGGAACTGTTTGCAATACTTTTAATGTCTTTACATGGATATGCACACTTTTTATAAACAAATTTTGATGGCAAGAATATCTGGAATTTATGTTTCGTATTTTTTTTTTTTTTTTTTTTTTTTTTTACATTTTTCTTTAAATAATGCAAAGATTTTCATAATTTGATATCTTAAAAACCCCTGGTAACGCATGCTGATTTTTTGTCTAAGATCATGTAAAGGTATTAAAAGTTTAAATTTAGAATATCTTGAAAAATTATCAGTAGGTAAGGTACATGTACCTTGCATGTGTCCTTAACATGAGTTAAAATTTACAAATCAATTCAATAAATACTTTTATGCATATTTTCAAATACTAGTATTATCAGATTAAAATGTCTAATGATAATGTAAAGCAAATAATTATAAAATTATTATTATATATAAATGTACATGTAAAAATAAATTGAAAAAGTCTTCAATTAATGACACGACTTTCTTTTTTATATGTATTAAGACCATATGATGACAGTATTTCTATTTTCCCCTCGCAACGGAGTTCCAAGGGATATAACATGTAGTAACACAATAACGGTTTATGTTTGTGCGTGAATGAGTAAATTAACCATGTGCAAAACTGAAGTGAGGTATTATGCAACAGATTTATTGGTGCCTTAACTTGTTTTATGGAATTGAATTTAAAAAATCTATGAATTAAATTACTTGTTCTTTTAGAATCCGTGTTGTGGAAACCTTACAAAATCCGGCATACAATGCAGAGATAATGAGTATTAACGATAGAGCTGAAGAGGAAGACACCGGAAAAAGCACGTACAGTGAAATAAGCGACGTAAGTGTACATATACCAATACTATAACTCAGTGTGTTTTTGATTTATATTTAAAAAGGCAAGAAAATTTAAGAAAATAAAGATGCATGCGTCAGAAAAGATTTTGCAGATCAGAGGTAACAAAAATTTGCTCTGAATTGTCACCATAATTAAAACTATGTTTAAACTTTTAGATAATGTATTTTTTAATGAAATATATGTAGTCACGTGACATGCTTCGTAAAGGTTCTGTTAAAAGAAACGTACTAAAAGATTTTTTCTTATATAAATAATTTCTTATCATGCACGTTATTTTTTCAACCAAAGCGGTTCATTTCTCAGAGATGAAATGACCATATGTGTGGATAATGATATCCCTTCCAAGAATGAGTATGGGAACCATCACTACCCGAGTCCTCAGTCTTGGAGGCTTAATTTATAAAATGTGAATAAAGTATGGACTCCTTCTTTTTGTCTTATTTTGCGAGCTTTTATTACAAATAGCTCAAATAAGAACACATCTATTCCCCAACTTACTTTTACTGGACTACATGTTCAGCATCCTCCTTCCTTCACTAAAACCACCAATACGATAAATGATTAAAAAACCAAGTCTTTTGTCTTCATAAACATTGAACAAAATATATACCATTCTACTGCAAAGAAATTTCCAAGATATATGTTTAACTTTACAGCTGTTTGTTGCTCAACTACGACAAAGACAATAACTTTCATATTGACGTCATTTGCATATTGTGACGGCACAAACATGGAACAATGATGATACAGTATTTGCTATAAATAGTACATGTATATTTTCCATATTTAATTCTGATCTGAAATGTGTGTTTTTAATTTTAGATATAGCGATAGTAGTTTTTTTTATCATCCCTCGTATTGTGCACATAACCAAATATTCATTACATTTTGTTCAAATATAATTTACAGCAAAAGTCCATGAAGGTATCTCATGTAGCGCCCATTCGGAGGAATGCAAATACCTCAAAAACCACTGATGGTGTTTACAACCATTTGAATGAAACAGCATCCGATGCCAGAAGTGAGTACTATGATCATGCCAAACCAGGAGCCTCAGTGTCAACATCTGCTGAGGGATACTGCACTGTTACTATAGATAACGGTGGAAACGATGAACATATAGAGGATAATGGAATCGTGGATGATCACGACAAAATAAGTGAAAAGGCAAAGGCAGATGAATATTTTGTGCTGGAAAAAATACAATAAGAAAGTTTCACTATCTCTAGATCGCTAATATCAAAGTAGAACTTAAGCAATAAACATTATATCCATCCATCATTTTTAACAATTGATATTTCTATACATTATATTATATTTTTATTTTTATATACAACATTTTATTTAAGACTGTCGATAGCCTTATTTTAAGAACTTATTTTAAGAACAAAAGCTTGCCTCGTTTTGAAAAAAAAATGATGAAGGTGGTGTGTTTATCATGTCATAAGGACGGCAAGTAAACGATAGAGAAGTCAAATTAAAGTCTTTGCGTTTAACATGAAGTTTCTGTAAGGGTATTAATAATGTCGTTTACTGGTAAAAAAAATCCAGAAATTAAACAAATGTGTCAGACTTTTTTTCCACAAGTTCACTTTGATAACTGATATAGACATATGAATGGATGTAAGTATTGACAATTGATAAAACATCGTCGATATATCTAAATGTCGAGTTAGAGGCCAAAGCAGTTGTTTTCTTCTCCAAATTTCCTCTGCTTGGTTCAATTTGGATCCTACAGGAGATCTAACAGATACCTGGAAGAACTGACCTCCAAAAGTTACATAGATATTGTAAATCAAAACAACAACATCATTTTAAAATCAATTTCAGAATGTGTACAATCAGAATATTTTTAATAAAGTAAGTGGCAAATTTATCGTTGGGAATGGATGTATTTACTGTTGATAAGTTTTGATCTAATTGTTTTTTTGGAGGAGGGTTGCATGTTTTCATTTTAAAAAAGAAGTTATTGAAGCATCAATATCTACTTTACACAATTTCTCAAATATACTGCTTTACAGTATGAGGGCTGTTCAATAAATAATGTCCTCGGTGCTCTGAAAGAAGCAAAAGACGCTTTTCAATGATTTAGTCTTCATGATTTTACTAAATAAATTAATCTCTTTTAATTAAAACACATGTCCACAACATATATATATATTTTTTTTAATTCATAGAATTTATTTTTGCTTTCACATTTACAGACTATGTACAATAGATTTGTTTACATTCATTACATACATATACTATATAATTTTTCCTCCATATAATTAATTTATATTATATACTTTATACAAATTCTCTTTGGTAAATACTAAATACAAATTCATTTCATAAAGCTGCAAAAGATATATGACATTCATGTATATTATGAATATATATTTTTATCCAATTTCTGATTGTTTTTAGAACTCATTTTTGGGTATGACCCTTAGTATACTTGAAAATGGCATTTTCCAATGATTTCCTGGACTTTTTTCTTCCTTCTGAAGGATTTTTTAAGTTTAGAAATAGAAACAAGTCAAAAGGTCAAAGATCTGACGAATATTGTTAATGTGAAAAAATATTAACTTTAATTTCTGTTTATCCCGAAACCCCCTTTACTCCTCGGGACGTGCGGGTTTGGACGCTGTCATTAAGAATTGTAATGCAATTATTTTGTAAAACACCTTTTGATTGGATAATGCACTGATGTTTGAAGCAGTAAAACGAACATTAACGTGGGTGAAAGCTTTTCATTGTGACGTCATAATAGAGCGACGCACAAACAAAATGCTCCGTGACGTATTTTATGTAACGAAAATCAGCAAAATAAGACGTTAAAATAAACAAAATGCAAGGATTGCATTAGAATGGGAATAACTGATCTTCTAATTTGGTATTTGCGACCGTTAATGCTGATTTAACGGTCGCAAACATCCGTTTTACCGGCTCCGCTTACGCGTCGCCGCTAAAACTCAGTTTGCGACCGTTAAATCAGCATTAACGGTCGCAAATACCAAATTAGAAGATAGTTATTCCCTAAATTTAATGTAGCAGATTCCTGATTCTAGGTACTTCTTCTAATAAACCTTTCGATTTTTTTGCAAAAAAATTGCTTTCTAGACTTCTCCAGAAATTAAACTGTCTCCCCGAATACGAATTTGAACAAAAATACAATTAACATTTAAGAAAATTGCATATAAATCTGTCTTTGTGCTCTTGCAAATCTTTACTCTTGTCAGACTTTCACTGTTTTTATCAAGTACATCTTATGGTAAATTTTGTTTTGAGGGTTTTAAGCAATAGATTCATGTTCCTTTATCTGTTTGAATATCAAACAAACGTGGAAAACTACAATTACTGATATTATAAAAATAATTGTTGAGACATTTGTACACGCTGTCGTTTTAACTCATTTTTCAAAATCTTTGAGTACCAAGGTTTCCTTACCGTCTACTGTTTTTAAAAACAGTGTAAATTACTCCCGATATGATGTCTATCAAATTTGCTATGTGTCTTTAAGTCAATCATACACCAGCAAATATTATTTGTTGAAATTTGACAAACAGTACATACATGTAAGTTGTTGTAATTTTTTTTTGGCAAGGAGGTACCCATTTTTGATGCCTATTATATAATTTTTTATCATTGAAATCCACCTGCTCATTTGTCTAAAAAACAGGCATTGGTTGCTGTAAATGTCACATATTTCAGTGAATATTTCTTTGGGATTTTTCTTTAACACTCATTTATAATGCAGTGTCTCGAATAGCATTTGTTTCCCTGCTTCTCATAATGAAATTACTGTAAATCACTTTTTCTTCGCGAGAACTTTAATTTCGCGTAATTACGCGAGACGGCATGCTCGCGAAAATTTAGTACTCGCGTATAATAATATTCCTTAAGATTATATAGAGCAATGACCTCTTTTCGTGAAAATTTTGTCCCGCTAATAAAGAGTCAATGGCTATCTCGCGAAAATAAGGTGTCGCGAACATTAAGTGATTTACAGTATGTGATGAAAAAAGGTCACATAAACATTTATAAATTCATCAAAGATTCAATAATGAGAGAAAGTCAAGTTTAATGTCATATGATATCTGTATTGTATGTCATGCAGTTCAGGATATTATTAGCCCTCGTACTGTTAAAGTTTTCTTGAGTTCTTAAATATCTAAGGGAGGTGGAAAGAAATACACTTGATAGAACATGAACTGTAGCCCGATATATACAGTGCATCTGTGTTTGTATGGATTTTTGGAATCCAGTATTGTAATTAAATTTCATATCGATTTTTCGATGCATTGAATATATCTAAAACTGACAGTACGCTATCAAGAATTTCTACTGGTCTAAAATTGGAAACAAGAAGAAAATTTGTCTACTCTAATAATAAAAAAATGTGCTTCTTTCAAGTGAAAACTTTTCTGAAGACATCTCTATTATTGCTAGGCCTTGATACAATTCAAGATATAGTTGTACTTTTGGTATCATAAGTTTAAGTTATACTCAATAGATAAGAGTATTAAATCAAGCATAATTATTTAACATTGTTCTTTTTTTAAAAAATAAAGGTGTTAATATTAACTGGGGGATCACTAATTTTCGTAGGGTTTAAATTTTCATTGCTTTTAAGGTGCAATAAGACCCAAAAAATTCATAACCCTCGAACTATAAAATATGTAACGTTTTGCTCAACACTTCTTCAGTCACGAAATCATATCACCTTGAACCACCCCTCTTAATACGACAAAACTTACTTTATTTATTTTTATATTGAACAATTAAACCAGTAAATACAATGTAGTGTTTTAGTTCAGATCAATGTATATGTTCGTTTCATGCATATTTATGCAAAATATCAAGTTTTTATGAAATGTTTTCAGTTATCCAATCATTTTTTTTTGTTTGTCGCCCGCGTGGCGCAGTGGTTAGAGCGTCTGCTCTAGAGTCGCTAAGTAAAGAGTCAATCCTTAAGTCGCGGGTTCGAATCCCACTGTGGGACGTGAAGACCGGTCCTTCGGATGAGACCGTATAAATCGAGGCCCCGTGTCGCAGTAGGTGCTGGCACGAAAAAGATCCCTCACTGCTCAAAGGCCCTAAGTGCCGAGCATAGGACAAAATTTGTAGCCCTCCACTGGCGTCTTTATATGAGTGAAACAATTATTTTTTTGCGATTTTGCCTAATATTTCACTTCATTCTATCTTATTTTTTTTCTAACAGGGTTTGCATTAGTTTCTTTACATATATACTTGTACATGTATGTATATGTGAAGTATTCCTTGTAATGACCATATTAGAAATGATCGATGTATGAAAATTCTATTTGCACAGTGTCTGTTACCTTTACTGTATAGTTGAGAAGGGCTTTCATACTTCACATATGTTATCCTTGTGACAAGATCTCAACGTCAAGAACAACTTTGACCTTGACATCGGAGTTTGACATACTTTTTAAAAAAATTAACTTTGGCCATAATTTTTAAATGATAAGTGATTGGGCTTTCATACTTCACATATGTAATCCTAGTAAAAGGACCTTTCATTGGATACCAAGAACTTTGACCCTTTGACCTTGGAGTTTGACCTACTTTTAATGAACAAACCTTGACCATAACTTTTGAAGGGTTAGGGATAGGGCTTTCATACTTCACATTTGTAATCCTTTTGACAAGACCTTTCATTGGATATCAAGAACTTTATACCTCTCGCAGCACAGTTAAGGTTACAAATGGAAATATCGGCGATTTTTTAAGATAAAAAATACATACTTTATTAAGATCGGCGATTCTTTTTAGGACTTCATTGATACAAAAAAATGTAATGTGGTTTAAATCTACATGTTGGGGACATTTAGATTTTTTTATTTAGACTTGTCATGTTATGTAGACGTCACATGACTTTAGCAATTATACTTGCAGTTTAGAGGTCATCTATAAATTTCAATATTGCAAGGGCATAACCAAGTTAAAAGTCTTATTTTAATTTATAATCCCTTTCAACACTGTATGTAGTTTGTGAAAAGTGCTACGAACCTATATAGATTCACTTTTTTAATTGCTAAGATTTAATTTTTTGGACGGCAGGTTGAATATTTTGCTGGTCAACTACATTAAATATAGTTATAATTAATTTATTTGCAAGATTTCAAGAGGTTCGCAGCACTTTTCAAATATCTGAATGCTTCTTGAGTTTATGTGTAAAATCTTGACAAGATACATTGAGGGTTTGCCCTTGC